TTTCCTCTTTTTATTTAATTTTTTATTCAATTAAATTTTGTTTCATTATTTTGTATTTTTTTATATTATCTTATTTTTATTTTTTTGCTCCAATTTATTGAAGTATTTTTTATTTTATTTTATTTTATTGCATAATATTATATTAATTAATTTATATTTTCTGTTTACTTAAATTATTTCATTTATTAATTAATTTCAATGAATTTTTAATATTATATTATTTCATATTTTTTTTTACTTTATTTTATTTCAAATTTTATTGTGTTATTTTAATTTATTTTATTTACCTTTTTTATTTATTAAAAATATTTTTCTTAATTTCTTTCTATTACTCTTTTTAATTCATTGTATTTTATTATTATCTTACTTTATCTTATTTGTTTTATAAATATATTCACTTAATTTTTTTTATTTTATTATTCTCTTATATTAAATTTTCCAATTTTTTTCTATTATTTTCTTTTAATTGAATTTTCGATTTTTAATTAATATATTTATTATAATCAATTTAAATTAATTTGATTTAACTTAAATTTGTCTACGTTTATTAAATTAATTGTTTTTCTATTTCAATTAGTTAAAATTTTTTTTTAACTTTTTATTATTATTTATTTCATTTTTGTTTTCATAATTAATTTTAAACATTAATTTTATTCAGTTTATTTCGCTTCCCGGTGATCTTTTAGTACCCTCTTTAAGTCACGTTCAGAGTTCAGCAGAGCGAAAAAGGCTGTAGTCATCACGGCTTTAATGGATGTATTTAATAATTTATAACGCTTAAAAGCCCTCGTCAAATGCGCTAAAGTGCGAAACAATTTCAGGCACTCAGCAATAAGTTTCTGCTTCAAATTTTATGAATATTACTCAAAATGAGCTTCTAATGCTTTCCTTGCACTCCTTTTAACTGCGCTCACAACTCAAAAGCAAAGTTGCAAACGTAAGTGCAACACGGCCGTTTGTTCATGCAACATTTAGCAAATTGCTGCGCTCCCTGCCGATCCGGTTCACTAGCGCCGTATTAGTTTATTTAATTGCAACAACAAAGTCAGCAAATTATGAGCAAATTTTAAAAGCTTCAATACAGCGAGAGAGAGTGAGCGAGAGAGAGAGTTTAAATCGAGTGAGTAATAAAGAAATTGTGGGCACTAAAAGTAGGAAAGGAAGTGTGGCAGGCGTAAAGACACGCAGAGCGCTTCGTTGGCCAGCAAGCGCGGGTGTGCAAGGAGATAGATAGGAACACAAAGCGCTCGCTGTATGAATATTTAGACGCGTGCTAACAAATAATAGTAGTAGAAAAAAATAGTTGAAAAGGAACTAATTGGGTTAACTCGCTAAGTTGGCGAGCTTATCGGCAAGAAGGAAAATTGCTTAAAAGCGCATTTCTTTGAGTATAAATTGTTTTTGTTTTTTTTTGTTTTTGTAGTCAATTCAAATGCACTTGCTGCAAATATTATGCGAACACATGCAATATTCNGTGATCTTTTAGTACCCTCTTTAAGTCACGTTCAGAGTTCAGCAGAGCGAAAAAGGCTGTTGTCATCACGGCTTTAATGGATGTATTTAATAATTTATAACGCTTAAAAGCCCTCGTCAAATGCGCTAAAGTGCGAAACAATTTCAGGCACTCAGCAATAAGTTTCTGCTTCAAATTTTATGAATATTACTCAAAATGAGCTTCTAATGCTTTCCTTGCACTCCTTTCAACTGCGCTCACAACTCAAAAGCAAAGTTGCAAACGTAAGTGCAACACGGCCGTTTGTTCATGCAACATTTAGCAAATTGCTGCGCTGCCTGCCGATCCGGTTCACTAGCGCCGTATTAGTTTATTTAATTGCAACAACAAAGTCAGCAAATTATGAGCAAATTTTAAAAGCTTCAATACAGCGAGAGAGAGTGAGCGAGAGAGAGAGTTTAAATCGAGTGAGTAATAAAGAAATTGTGGGCACTAAAAGTAGGAAAGGAAGTGTGGCAGGCGTAAAGACACGCAGAGCGCTTCGTTGGCCAGCAAGCGCGGGTGTGCAAGGAGATAGATAGGAACACAAAGCGCTCGCTGTATGAATATTTAGACGCGTGCTAACAAATAATAGTAGTAGAAAAAAATAGTTGAAAAGGAACTAATTGGGTTAACTCGCTAAGTTGGCGAGCTTATCGGCAAGAAGGAAAATTGCTTAAAAGCGCATTTCTTTGAGTATAAATTGTTTTTGATTTTTTTTGTTTTTGTAGTCAATTCAAATGCACTTGCTGCAAATATTATGCGAACACATGCAATATTCTCATTGTTTTTGTTGTTGCAGTTGTGCTTGGCAGCTAAGCGCTTAAAGCAGTTTTCGTGTTAGCTAAGTAGGCGCAAATCGAAAAATTCCGCTTGTTTTGCATATTTTAATATTTCACCCGCTCTACGCTGAAAAGCTGGCGCCTCTTTGCTATTCGACGACGGTTTTTCACCCAACAAATTTTCTTTCGTTTTTATTCTCCATTAGCATTGCACATATGTACATATATAAACCACATGCAGGTGTGTGTGTGTGTGTGGCATGTGGCCCGTGGCATGTGTTGAAAAGTCACTTGCGTGTCAACTTCACTGCTCAAACGTTATCGCTTCGACGTCGCTGCTGTCGTTGGCGACGTTTGTCATTGAAATTAGCATTTCAGTTAGTGAGCTGCTAAAAGCCGTCCATTACTTGTGCTACTTTTTAACGGTCATTTAAACAAATATTATGCAGATTTTCCACATACTTAGTCCTCGCAATATGTATTATGAAAAGGTTTCGAAAAGGATGTGTGTGTTTGTTTTTTGCTCCTTGCCACGTACGTCCACACATATCCTTAATAATTTATGACCCATTTGTGTCGCCATAACTCATACATTAACCAAATGACCAAATTACTGCATGCAATTAAAAAGAAAATACGCGGAAAATACTTTCTTCTGTCGCCTAATCTGATGAGTACTTCGTTTCAGGGTTGCATTAATTCGAGTAACTTTCATGATTAGATATGAAGAAAATTATGAAAGGCGTGACGAAGGACTCTTAAATTTAAATGGATGTTATGCTCAAGCCAGCTGAAACGAAACGAAGAAAAATGAAATGTATTAGGTGCCGAGGAGCGTTAGTATGGAGGCTCCGATCGAAGTTCTTACTACAAATAAGGTTCGTCAAAAAATTCCAGGAATCAGCCAACAAAGCTCAAAATAATAATTACTGCATTTGATTTCAAAAGTGATTCCCGTTCAAAGTAGTATACTTATTCTTTCGAATGATACAAACATCAAAGCATTTTTTAAACGCCATCTCAGTATCAAGCTTGTTAATCGCCGCGAATGTAATCCATCGATTGAGTGCTTCGAGTGATAATTTGAGTATTTGGAGACAGAAAAACTCGAACGAAGACATAGGCATGGGCTGGTTTTTTTTTTTCATTTTTGGACAAATATTTCAACACGACGAGATGGCGCGTTCTCGTTTGCAAAATCCATAAGTTTTCTCATCCCAAATCTAGACATAGAAAGTTCCAGAATTGTCTCTCTTAAACTAAAATTTCTGTTTTCTGTCACCATTTCCTTCAACTAAACGAAGTTTCCATGATTTGAAGACGTTGATGGCCGATCAGTTCGAGTCTTAAGTCTAGAGCAAAGTTGTGGCAACTTGGTGACAAAAAGATTTTCATGAGCTGCCTTTCTCGGTACTTTTTTGACGAAGTATATTGCAGATGGTTAGATCGTATTCATTAAATCCTGAGATAATAAAAAAACCAAGAAAAGAAATCGAACAACTAAAAACCCTTCCATTTAACTACTTTCATACATTTATAACTCTAAGAACATCTCATTTTCGGGTCGCAGTGATCTTTCACTTTAAAATTATTATGTTTTTTTAATAAGAAATTTTCAAATAAAAAATATTAAAATATTTTTCTAATTCCACACGAAAAAAAATAAATAAAAATTCTCGTAAATTAAAAAAAAAATTAATTGTGTTTATTAGCTTGATCTCCTTGTCAATTTAAGCAATTAATCCTTAACACCGAAAAATGTCAGCGCTGCAAGTACTCAAGCGTGCCGTTAATCTGAAACAATCAACTGCTCGACTTTTGGGCGCACGCCACAAGGTCTACCACCGGACAAGTAAGGAAGCGAAGAAAAGCATGCGTGACTACGATGACGGCTATTATTATCGCAATGGTGAAGAGCACTATGCGCAGACCTTACGCAATCGCCAAGCGGAGGTGTTGCGCTACGACGATATCTACTACAAAATGAATCACACCAAACCGAATCAGACGCATATAAATTATCCCAACTGCACGTGTGCCGAAGATTTGAAGGAACTTGAAAAGTTGAAAGGCAAGCAGCCATTGCCGGAAACCGCTAGCCCCATGAAGGATTCTTACAGGCTATATAGCCTTTAGAGGGTGGAGCGAAGGAGAATCGGAGACTGTTTCGATAAGCTGGAAGCAATGGGTACTGTTTACTGCAGACTTCTAGGGTTAGCTTAGTCAAAAAATAGTAAAAAGTTTATTAAAATACAATAGTATATGCATACATGGAACTTGTGAAAATTTTCTGTTCATTTGCCTAAATTAAACTTGATCTAAGTAATGTGAAAACTCTGAATAAATGTAAATAATTCCACTAACCACAAAAATTCTTATATATTTACTTAAAACGATACAAAAAAAATAGAGATAATATTCATAGGTATGAGAATTTTCACACAAAAAAAAATCTGAATTTGAAAGAAGAGATATGAGCTCAATCAATTAAAGTACCATTATTTAATCCCACGTGAAAAACTTTGACCCTGGATTAAGGTTAGATTTGTTAACTCTCGATATTATAACCTCCTATTTTATGCCTTAGCTTCCTGCTTAGTTGCCTGGAATCAAAAGCCATGCAATGCACCAAGTTATACATTCCCATGATGAGATCAACAACAATAAAAAAAAGATTTACAAAAAATGTTCAGCAATCATTGAAAAAATGGTTTCACAATTTGGAAAATATAAAAAACCAAAACTTCATTCGTAAAATTTTCTCTACCTAAAAACTTGGATTTTCACTTTTATAACCAAAAAAAAAAAATTAATCAACTGATCCTACTAAATTTCAAAATTCCCAACTTAATTCGGCTCACTATTCCTCTAATCTAAACTACAAATTTAAGGCAAGTTTCCAGCATGCAAAGTTTAAAATTAATCGCTTTGACGCCTGCCGCAAAAATTCTGACCGCTACGAAAGCATCGCAAGTCGCCTGCCAACGTCTCACCTCCAACGTTTCACCAAGCAACGCTTTGGTCAACAGCGATATGGTTAATCCCGGCGGTCGTCCGAACTGCCTACTACTTGAACCGCGCTGTGGCATAGAGAAAATGAGGAACGTCACTTGTAAACCGCGTGAATTCCCACCAGATTTCAATTTCGATGAATGTTGTCCACCTTGTCGGGATGTTTTACCGCGTTTCGATGATCTCTACTATAAGCCCAGCGATAAGGACACACGTAAATACCAACAAACGTGGTCCGAATGTCCGCGGCTTCTCATAACACCCCGACTAATATGTTGTACTGAAGAAACTGATGTACCGTTATTGGAAAAGCGTGTATTTAAACGCAGAGATGAAGATATGTTTGAATTGTATGCCGCACGTTTATGTAGAAATACGAAAGAAGGACGTTGTGCTAAACTGTCATGGCCCGGTTGTAGGATGGGCAGAGTACCGCCCAAATGTTTTGTGATTAAGCCAATGAGTGATTGTAAGAAGAGATGTACACCATATCCGAGTTATTCGGAGTGTTTACGCGATCCAGCGAGGCAATTGCGACCTGTCGAATGTAATTGTCTCAAGGTTGGGCCATTATGTCTTAATTGATTCGTGTACATACGAGTAGGTGTACATCTCCAATTTGAAGCCGAAACGATTAAGTTTCGTCAAAGTTGTGTCTTATTCAATGGCATGTGTGAAGAATTAACATTGAAATTGCACTATGTTGGCGAATCTTATTTGCTTTTGGTTTAAGCGTGAGAGTTGGTCAGTGTTAAAGTTCATTGTAAGCGAATGGCAAGGATTGGTCAGAGCGTAAATAAAGCATTTTAAAACCGATGAAATATTTATAAAAATCTAAAAGAAAAAAAAACAAGAATAAACGTACAAAAATAAATTTTTCGTTCTAAATATAAAGGCTAAAGCTAAGTTACTTGATTTATAAACTACTTCCAGAACTTGCAAACTGCGGACACGATGTCTTTTGGCTTACAAAAAATATATAAATTTTGCTGATTTGTAACCGCTGAAGTGATTTTCTGGACGTTTTTCCAACAAATTGAGGGATCTACAGTTTTTAATAAACCACGCCTCCGAGCGGCAGATGGTTTTTTATGAGCAGCTCTATTTCATGGCAGAAATTAACTCGGAGGGGTGGGAATTCCCTGTCGAGGGGCGACCGCAATTAAAAAATTCAACTTAATTTTTTGTTTAAATTAATTGTCCATAACTTTTGGATGTTAGTGGAACCAGGATTTTAAACTGAGTTTTCCGAATGTCAGTACGCTATGCTAACCACTCGGCTACCTACTACGGCTGAATAAAATATTACTATTCGAAGTCATTCTTTCAAGACTTGCCAGAACCGTCAGCCATCATTGGCTGCATCAGATTTTGTCTTTTCCATCGATACTAAATGTAGGTTCGGACTCGCCATTTTTGAGTGTTGCACATTCGCGGCTTAAAAGTGCTTCTTCTATAAACTCAATCTACTCTGAGCAAGGGTAACAAAATTACTTCTTTCCTGCAACAAGTCACCGTCCCGATTCATAGAATTTTCTGATATTTCCCCTGTTAACCAGCTTATACAATAGAAATCTTACTCTTTCTTTTTCTGTCTACAAATTCGTCTTGCTCCATTATTTAACTGTCGATATCTATCCCACAAGGCATGCCTTGTGAGATTGGCAGTTTTCTCTAAACTGAGGTGAATTAATACCCATTTATTATCTCTTCTATTTATCTTGTCAAATTCGAAGAGTTTCGATGGTGGTTGTCAATAAGGATGCTGCAGTAGCCCCATCAATGTTGTGAGTGTTCGCACATCAAGCATACTACAGCCATGTCACCTGTTTGCACAACACGATCGATTTGATTACGAGATTTTTGATCCGATTTTAGAGCTGCGGAAAGGTCAGTTAATCGCTTCTAGATATCTTTCATTAGGAAAATATACTAAGATTATAGACGATTTCGACATAAAGGAGGGGGGGCGACGTGGCCTCTCAGATACCAACAACGAAACATAAAATTTGCGATCTTTCTTTTATATGGGCGCCATTTTCCCCAATTTGACGAGGGTGACAAATAGGGTACATTCCAAAGACTTATCAAAATCACGGTTCTTAAAATGTTGCATTCTTGGCAACAAAAATGGAAACTTTGCTAGTTTAATTATAAAGTAGTGAGAATCTGCATCAGCATCTTGCACTAAAAAAACGATACGAATATATACATTGGAGCTAAGTTTTACATGCCGGGTCCCATGTCAACCAGGAGCGAGTCTCTCATTGTAAGACTCACATCGCTCGCAACCAAACCTCTAGTTAACACACCCTGCGGATAAGTTGGTGTGTTCTGATGGAGTTCCTTGTTACAAAATGGTTTCGAGTCTTATTCCTTGGCATATTTCGATTGCTTAAGATTTTGGGAACAGCGCATCCCAAAAGAACTGAGGAGAAATAAACTCTTAAGGTCGCTTCTCTGAAACGATTCTCTGCAGACTTTTTTTCACTTGCCCAATAGCAGAAATTTTTTGAATAAAATGCTTCTTCCAACTCAGTAGCAAAATTTTAAAATTCTTTTCATTTCAATTATTTAAAAAACACAAAATTTTCGGTTTTATTTCAAGAAACTAAATTTTTTTCTCTCTACTTTCGCTTAAAACAACTAAAAAATTAAATAATATTAAAATTTTACTTTGAATTCGCAAAATTCTAAATTTAATGCATCTCCAGTGCTCAATGAGAAAAAATTAAGAAATTACGAAAATAACAATAACAACTAATAATATATACACACATTTGTGGACGAAGTTTGGTACGAGCAACGAATATGGCCCTCTTTCGCAACTTTGGTCATCAAATCTTTCAAAAAATCAAAGCGCCAGCACTCACAGACTGCTTTTGCCGCCCCATGTCCAGTGCTAGCAAACATCCTGGTTATCGTTCACAATGTGCGGGCGAAGAGCCAAAGTGCAGTGAAAAGAGTTTAAAAGAGAAGAAAGATCGCGATGAATGCCACAAAGAGGAGAGAGTCTCCATGTGGCTGAATCCAGAGTGTTGCCTCGATGTATGCAAAGACGTTTTGCCGCGTTTCGATGATCTCTACTATAAGCCATCCGATAAAGCGAAACGCAAATATACGCGCACCTGGAACGAATGTCCTGAGCTGAGAATAGCGCCGCGAAAGATTTGTTGCTTTGAAAATATTTCCCTGCCACCAATGGAAAAACGTAAAAAGTCTTCGCAACCGAAAACAGCTTGTGCCGTGCCGGTGCATGAGGAGAAAAGCTGCTCGCTAGTAGCCAATAAGCGTTGCGTAAAGATCCGCTTGCCCGGCTGTAACACGGTGCGTGATCCACCAAAGTGTTTCGTCATCAAACCACCAGCGAATTGTCGTAAGATATGCACGCCATATCCAGCATTTTCGGAATGTATGCGACCCAAACCGAAACCCAGACGGCCAGCCGAATGCAATTGCCTGATTGTCGCTCCACTGTGTGCCGTACACTAGAGGCATGAAATGAAACAGGCACCGTCTATGGTGCTTCTGAGATGAAGATTCATGTTTCTTCCAATTGCATATGTATACGTGTGTGAACCAATGGCGTTTTCGACTGGTATATGCTTAAATAGCATTGAGGGTCTCAGCTTTCAGTTTCCTGCTAGAAGCTGGTCATGATATTGAAAGCTGAAACTTTTCAAGAAGCGTATTGAGTTGGAGAAAAATTCAAAATCATTTCATATAATTTAAGAAAAAACGAGTTATTCTATTTCATGCAATTCCTAAGCATTTTCACTACTTCTGTCTTTCAAAACACAGTCCATATTATTCTTAAAAAATAGGGGAAAAAGAATGGAAAAAAGTTGAACTCTAATAATTAATAAAAATTAAAAGCAACAAATTTTGAACATTAAATTTTTTCACTAACAAGCTTCCCATCCTCTGACTACATCACCCATGCCTCAGGGCGTGTTCAGGAGAAACTATCGAGCGAGAGAAGAGAGAGTAAAATAGATGTTAGCCTCTATGTAGAAAATTTCTGTCTTGATGATGGATTTACTTTCCTCTGAAGAGAAAACTTCGCTTAAAGATGCCATAAAAATATGAGCAAAATCTCTTCTCTTTTTCCTTAGGATAGAAAAAGAGCTCAAAACGATCTAGAATTTCGTTTCCATGATCATAAGATAGAAGCAGATATGACCTTGATAAAATTCAAAACTTTGCTAGCTAAAAATTAGTTCTGCAATCATACGAACCTTCTTTTTAGTTGAGGTTTTCAACCTCAGCCCTTCGGGTCTTCCGAACAAAAAGCATTCACATAGTTTTAGAAGTACTTGTCTTGCTGGCAATGGTAGCTTGTCAGAGCAAGAATTTTTCACAATGTCAAATGCTTGTCTGGGAGCAATTTCTCTTTTTCCCTCTCTTTAAAATTTAACTTGTCTATGGCAAACATTTCTCAAGGCCCACAAGACGATTACAGAAAGGCAAAACTACTCCCTCTTACAAAAAAGTGACTGAAAAATCTTCAACTGCTAAAATATTGGTATTTCTTACATAAATATGCATGTTTCTCTTCGTTTTCGTAGCTCTTCGAGCTTAATTGTATACTCTGTCTCTCTCATTAATATTGAGTGAAGAGTAAAGGTAGTATGAGAAGACGGTTGTGGATCGGTCGTAGTGACTCAATGGTCTGTAAGATTATAATAAATCTATTTTCTAGGAAAAAAACATTTTCTACGACCTGGTCCTAGAGTTTCCATCTATCCGGATAGAGAAGAGATGACTCTTAAAGCAACTTAGGGTATGGATATATTGCTTTTTAGTTGAAATACGGTGCTCTTCAGGTAGAATGGCGCAACGAAAAATCATTAGTTTTGCCTCTGATAGTTTAATGAGATTTACAAACATTTATTATGCTCCTTTCGATCAGAGTTTTAGGGTGGTAGCGTAAAAATTGGCTACTGCATGATGTATGTATGTAAGAAGAAAATGACGACTGATTTCTGTCTACCATATGTAAGAGTAAGTAGGTGAAGATTTGGGCTTTCACACAACTTCTCAGTCTATTTAGAGTTAGATAATTTTTATTCCACTTAAGTGCACCGCTGAGAACTTCAAAGAGCGCGCTCAAAATAGGTCTTTTCACTTCACAAAAAATATCATATTTGGAGTGCAAAATGAATTTTGACAGCTCAACCTTCAAAGACAGCGCAGAGAACCATCGAGTCATAGAAAGCGACAACATATTTTTATAACAAAAAATCATGAAAAATTGTACATGTTATAGTGTGCATACATACACACATAAGTATGAATGTAAATGTAAGAAAGACCAAAATTTTCATAAAGAAAAACCAATTCTCAAGAAAAACGCAGAAAATCGCATAAAAAGTGGAGTAAAGAGTTAATACTTGTAGAGCTTGTACTTCCCAAGTATTTAGGCATACTACATACATATACATACATATATGTACATACATACATGTTTATATGCATATGTCTGCACCTCGGTAGAATCTGACAGCCAGCGTGTCTACTGCTGAAGTGTCTGCCACACAAAGTGTTGAAATGCAAGCAGACAACAAAAGTCGATCTGTGCAACTAGTTGGGTAGCCAAGGAGGGGAGAAGTGACGGCGAAGCAGTGGAATTGCTGTTGATGAGTGATGCGATTTGATGGACGAGTATCTGCGTACTTGAAAGTTTTGTTGCATGCGTTGACTAACTTTGTCAGGGGCAACAGGCACCAAGCTGCGTGCAACATTTTTCCTTTGTTGTTTGTATTGTATAATTTCGGCAAAACCTATAAGAAAATAAAAAAAAAACATGTATACAAAAAAATGTATGTAGAGTGAGACGCATTTGGCATTTCATTTGAAATCCAACTAGCAAACAACAACTCAAGTGGTTTGTCAGCAACATTTCAAACAAAGCAGCGAGACATAGCGAAGTATGTTGCGGCAGAGAAACTAGAAATTTACCAAAAAAAAAGAGTCAAAAACTAACTTGAACTCTTTCCATTTATTCGAATGTGTAAAATGCGTTGTTGTTGGGGTTCAGAAGACAAAGTGAGTGGAAAATAGGTAGTGCGTACTAAGGAAAAAACACGAAAAAAATTGTTCAAAAGTCCCTGCAATGCCACCCTGTCTCCTATGTATAACAAGTAGGTGGTATATTCACACAGTGGGCGAAAAAATTAAGTCATTTAATAAGTTAATTTATTAAAATTTATTTAGTCTTTAAAATTTTAAATTGTTTTATTTTACTCCCAGTTCATGTTTACACTATTTTATTTATATATTCCAATTTTGTACTTTATAAAAATATTTAATTTTTTTTGTTTCATTTCATTTTATGCCTTTTTATCTTACTTTATTTTATTTTATTCTAATTTGTTTAAAATTTTTTGTTTTATTTTAATATAGCTCATTCTTCAACTTTCTACATTATCTATATATTTCATTGTGTTTTGTTATTATTTATTATATGCCATTTTTAATTAATTTAATTTAAATAAATTTAATTTTATTTCTTTTCATTTTATTTTATTTTATTTTATATTATTTTATTTTATTTTATTTCATTTTATTTTATTTTATTTTATTTTATTTATTTTTGCTTATAAAAATGTATGTATCTTTCATTGCTCCTCACTGTGCATAGGGACTTGATAGGCAAATGCTTTACAGTCGCCGCAAACTGCATGACAATTTTTCGTGCTTGTGTTTTCGTATTGTTGTTGTAGTGAACTCTCCAACATTTAAATAAAAAAATTTTTTCGTCTCGGTCTATCTTTTTTCGCTTGAAATTGAAGATACTTTTCGTTAACTCATTATTAGACACTCACTTAATCATAAAGTTAGAAAAAATTCAACCAACTACATTTTGTTGTTGTTTATTGTGCTGTTTTCAGTTTTTGTTGTCGCCTTTTGCTGCTTGTTTGTAATGCCAGTTTAACTGACAACAAATTTCGTTTTGTAATAAATTGCGTTGGCCGCATCGCTACGTATCTGCAGCCGCCACTCTTTCCTCTTTTTCACCTCTCGGTTTAACTCTTAACTCCGTACGAGCGTACCGTACATATTGGTCACTCAAGTATGTTGTTAAAGTAATTTGTTGCCGCCACCAAAGAAAAACAGAAAATTTTACTATTTATTTATTGTTGTTGTTTTAAGTTTTGTTACAATTGTTTCAAACATTTATGTAGCAAAGTTTTTGGTGTTTTTTTTTTTTAATTTGACTCCCAAAAATGTATTTCTTTCTAAAAAGTGATCTTCACTTGCGCGCCTTTTATGTAAATGCGTAGTAAGTGTATGATTGTGTAGTTGTCATCTTGAAAACTGTTGAATTTCTCACTTCTCATTTCGTTCGTGCGTTTTAATCTTCCTCTGCTTTTTGTGTTGTCGGCCTCAATTCGTTCAAAGTGTGGCATCAAGTGTTTCCAAGTGTTCAAGTGGTTTTCAGTGATCTTTTATGGACGCTCACATATATGTATGAAGGGACATGTACACGTATATGTTTGCCTTTTCCAACTGCAGAGTTTCTTACTTTCAAATAGAAGAGAGCTCCGAAATCATGAGTTTATTATAAAGTTTGTGTCTGCGTTACCACTTTTCCATTCATAATCTCAAAAAATAGGAAGGAAAAGCTTAGAAAGGGTATTTCATTACGATTATTCAGTTTTCTTGAACCTTCTGCGAATTTCTAAATTTCAGCATTGCTTTATGAAAACATAATTTCTGAGCACTAGCCTACGTCTACGTTTTGTGGATATCATAAAATAAACTTTACAAATGCTTCAAAACTCGTTTCAAAGCAGTCCGTAGATGACTAAGCGAGGATAGAATCCCAGCTAAATTGAAGCACTCGGAGCTGCTGCTTTGATCACGATTTGTTCTAAGATCCGCTTTCTGGTAGTACTGCAGGACGAACAACTCGGCTAAATTGATTAGAGGATAAGTCACGTTGATGTAAGCCTGGCACTGAGTTCAGGAAACGCGAAGGCAAGAAGATGTATTCCGAATTATGAACGAGTCTCTCAACAGCTCTTGGATTCTAATCAAATTAGTTGAGAAACAGACAACTTTAGTTCTTCCAACGTCTGTATTACTTCAGATCACATTCACCTTGTGTATCCGAGCGAAGATGTGGCGAGAGACGCTAAAAGTGGAGGTAAAGCTTTGTAACGAACACTGGTTTCTGCTATAGCCATGATCGGTACTCGGCTTCAAAGAAGTCGCTCAAGGCAGAGGTGCGATGCTTGCAACTCAGAGCGAAATTCGTTGAATTTAACTGCCTAATCTAAAATACGTCAGACTACTCCAGTGCAATCCAACGAATCCTAATTTCAGTCACAGTTCCGTGAATAACAAAAATCCATTGAAACGACTTGAGCGGCGCATGGAAATATGCATATTCATATTAAAAAGTAATTCAAAATGCAAATATTATAGCAAATACTTTTCTGTTTCTGTATGCAAAGGTAAAAAACGTTGGAATGTTTGCAGCGAAGGACGTGATGCCGCACTGCAACTGCCAACAAAGAGTCTCAGTTGCTGTAGGAACGCAGAGAGGCAGCACACAATAGCGAAGGCAACGACACACTTGACGCATTTTAAAAAGTGCCAATGACGCACACTTCTGCCGATTGCAAGAGAATTCATTGCAAATGCGAGTGCATAACATTGTACATTCATACAGGCACTCCATAAGTATGAATGAGTAGCAACAATTGCACGCTTGTATAATTTTGCATACTAAAATGTGCACGAATATGTCTTTAGTTTTGATTTTCAATTT